AGGTAAAGAGATAGATTTCAGGGTGGCCAAATCTTCATCTCCCCACAAAGGAATAAGGAAATAAAAATGCCTGTTCTCTAAGGCTAACGGTTTGATTTGTTTTCAGGGCTCTTCATGAAATGTAGCATAGATATGCAACTTAGTTTTTTTCCTGGTTCCTAATAATGGTTTCATGTTACTACTTAATTTCCCCCTGTCCTTGATACTTTATGCTTAAATGAAATGAGAGGGAGTTGAGGAGTCTGTAGACACACGTGAGCCATGACCTGCTGCTGTCTTTAGCAATTTTTGCTAATTGTTAAGATTGTTTACTCTTAATGTTTAAGGGACAGTAGGGTGCAGTGGAATGAAGAGAGTATTGAAGGTAGAGAAGCCGGGCTGAATCCTGGGTCTGCATCCTGGGTCTACTACTTATAATCACTGTATGGAGTTGGACGTGTTACTTGACATCTCTTAGCCTCAGCATCCTCTATAAATTAAGGGTTAATGATGCCGATTTTAATAAGTTGTTATGAGAATTAAATTGGATTGTCTATGTGAGCATCCGTATTGTACCTGGCATGATAGCAGGCTCTCAGAAAATGTTGGTTCTTCCTGCTTTCACTAATGGAAAACGCTGGAAAGTACTTTAAATTAGATTTAATAAGATTTTAGGTCATGTGGCATAGATTTATGAGACAAGCACACAGAAGTGATTTCCTAAGTTTAAAAGGTGAACTTTACATTTCAGATTTCTTGCTTCTTAACTTTGTTTTTTGGACTGAAACAGTTGTGATCCAGGAAAAGCCAAGGAAAACAGTTGCATTAGCCTTCACTTCTTCATGTTTCCTGATGTGGGAAGGAGCTACATCATGGGCACTATACCTTTGTACTTGTAGACAGGAGAAGGGAGGCAGGAACCAGAGAAGATAGATGTGGAAGGAGGTTGAGAGGCATGGTCAGAGGAGAGGCATATAAGTCTTTGACAGGGTGTTCTCCAGCCGTGTTTCAGCTAGTATGGAGAAGTTGTATGTTCCATTGATTTTTTTTTTTTTTCGTGAGGAAGATCAGCCCTGAGCTAACATCTGCCAATCCTCCTCTTTTTGCTGAGGAAGACTGGCCCTGGGCTAACATCCGTGCCCATCTTCCTCTAGTTTATATGGGACGCCACCATAGCATGGCCCGACAAATGATGCCTTGCTGCGCGCCCGGATCCGAATTGGCGAACCCTGGGCCGCAGCAGTGGAGCGCGCACACTTAAACCGCTTGCACCACTGGGCCGGCCCCCATTGATTCTTTTTTTGATGCTGCAAGGACAGACTGTAGTTCACTTTGAGAAAGCTAAACTCACAGCAAGGGTCCTTGCTTGTTTATCTTTTTATTTAGTTTTGTCTAACATTTTAAAAATATGACTGCTTTCATTAAATGCTCTAGGATCTTTACATATTTAGCGAATTCCCGTTATCTTTGCTTTAGATGTATGGTCATGTACTTCCTCAGATGCATTCAGAATAAAGATCCAAAAAGTCCAGAATATCCTAGATCATTAAAGAAAGATTTCATCGCATTGTATTTAAAAAGCCAGAAAAAAAATAGCCATATAGATTTTAGGAAGATTGTAACAATTAATGTTAGAGATTAAGTTAATCCTCAACTAAGCAAAAAGTGAAATTATTGGAGTACTCCATACTTTTCATTAATTAAGTTTTCTTTGATGCTTCTTTGTTCTAAACATATTTTGTTTCTTCTACTTCTATAAAAGATTTTTGAAACTTTTGAGATTGTCTTGCATGAAAAACTTTCTTTTGCATTAAATAGAAAATTAGGGTAAGGATGGGAGGAAAGCATATTTAGAGAATTTTCTACTTATGAAATTGTACTCAGGATGTTTGACTTTCTATTTTGGTAGAGATGTTGAAGATGCCATCTTCTCACCTATTTATTATTGTAGAATTTGTACCTCTGTTATAGCATTTTTTAAATTCCACTATATTTTAAATTAAGGTGCGTGAGAGTGTTCACTGTATACTGAATAGATTCTCTGTTTTAGGTTCTTCTGTGTGTGTTGTATTTTTGTTTAAAGGTACATATGTTCTTTTGTTTATTTGTTTGTTTATTGCAGTAACATTGGTTTAT